GTGGTGAATGCAGGGAACGTCGACGAAGAACCCAAGATTTGTCGTTGCGGTGCATCTCTCGACGCGAATATGAGCGGTGGAGCGACCAGCCAATTTCCCCTTCTCGTACTGGCATTTCGGAGCGCAATCGGTCACTGGTGCCGCTTTTTCTGTCCCTCCAAGAATAGTCTCTGCGTTGTCAAATGGAATTGTTGAGCGTGCTAGCACAAAGTGCGTTGTGCTGATAACTTTAACGGTCCTATTGCACAATTGTCTGCAACCAGATCTAAGTAGGGCAGGGCTCGGTTGGTGCTTACCTCCACCGCATCATGGCCCTTACGCGCCGTACGGAATTTGCTTGCCGTTAATAGCGTCGCTAGATTCGCCATTGCAACGAGATCAAGCTTATAACAACAGGCGCATCGAAGGCCAGCTACGAGAAGTTAACCGTTGAGCGGAATGGGCCGTCGCGATGACTGTGGTGTCGAGGTAGCGCTTTGCCGTCGTCTAGCAGGTTTCGATGTCGCGGGGTAGTCTTTGGGCACGCCGAACACCAAAAGCAGCGTCTCAGCGCTCCTAAAGTGTAAGTCGCGGCGACTACGACGTCTCGCTAACGCGTGAGACTCCGGCGCTCGTCGTAGAGGCCTCTACTGTGTCGAGAGAAACTGGCTCATACAGCGCAAGGCCAGCGCCAATGCGAGCGGCGAGCTCTTGGCAGCCGCGAGCATCGAGAGGAGCGCGTCGAGTAGCGGCAGCTGGTGTGCCGACAACTACCTTGCGCGTGCCAAATCGGGCGTCGACAAAGCCGGGATGAAGGCCTTGGACTGGACCAACGAGAGCGACTTGGCTCGGGTCAATCTGCAGGTACGTCTTGAACTGCGTATTGCAGGCGCAGCCCGCGCCGACCGGCATCATGATCAAGCGGTCAACAGCAAGGCTGGGGCCATCACCAGGTCGCGCAGTCGACCACATCGCTTTCTAAAACTGAAATCGCCAAGAGTTGGCCCCTAGGTAGTGGACGCTGCGCAGAGCTCGGAATGCGAGGTCGCGTCGCCATCGGAGTCGTACAGCGGTCGCCAAGTGCGATTTAAGATGTATTGAGGCAAATGCCGCAAATAAGATTAAGATCATAGTGCCATTTCTAAAGCCATCACCTTCGACGCTGATCCCACTTGGGATGGAACCGCCCATAGTTGGCACCGTGATACTAGTAGAAGACGCTGTGGTGAGCAGAGCAGACCACGATACGCCATCGCAGCAGCCCCACAACGTGAGAATGCGTGACCAAAGGTAGATAACAGCTTTCGAACGCGTTAGAGAGAAAATTGCCACATTGGTGGAACGGAGTGCAAAAGGGTTCCCGCTGCTGCTTGGCCTATAAGTTTAGTATAGCTATCCATGCACACGACGTCTTCCAACGCAGTTCGCCGCAGTACTAGTACGCTTGTGCTTGGGCACGGGACAAGACGCGCGAGTTCGTCCGTAGCTTTGGTTTCGAATCCTGCCGGCTTTTCTGATTTGCGCAAAACAACATACGACTCTCAAGCATGCACGAGTTCGCAAAATGTAGCGTTTGCATCACGTTTACACTAAGCGAGAAGGACGGTCATCGCTACGTAGTGGATCTGGGTGACAGTGCCTCGAATCCCAGACACAACAGCCACTGAGCCAAAAAAGCTCGACACAAGCCGTTTGGTTGGGTATCTGCCGTCTTCGAATGGAATGCAACAGTGGTACGAGCCTGGATCTTAAGAGCCCTGCGTGACTTCTCCAAAACCAGTCGGCGGTCCACGCAAAACCAGCTGGCGCGACTTTGCCGTTCAAAGCATCAAAACGGCACATTGCACTTGGCGAGGTAACGCCACGTGTTGCTTCTGAATCTGGATCTGCTGTCTGATTCAGACCGACGTGTCGCGATCGAATGTACTTACTCACAGTGCGCCGCCGCTTTGGATTGCCGCTTTCCAAAGCTCATTTTCACATTGGCGCTTTGCCCCCCACCACAACTACGCAAAAGATGAAGTCGTCCATGATCGCCTCCCTTCTCATGCTCGGCCTCGCGCACGGTCTGCAGCTCTCGGCGCAAGAGAAGGACGACATCAAGGCCGAAATTGACGCGTGGAAGAAGAGCCGCGCCGGTCAGCTCGCGGCCAAGAACGGTCTCTTGCCGGAGCCGTCCAACTTGGAGTCGGGCGAGATCGACGACGGCAGCGAAGAAATCGAGCGCTTTGCCCACACCAAGCAGGTCGTCGCGGAGCTCAACAAGAAGCACCCGCACGCCAAGTTTTCGACCAACAACCAGTTTGCGCTCATGACCGAAGACGAGTTTGCGGCCTTTGTGAAGGGCTCGTTCAGCGCGTCCAAGCCCAAGCGCCAGCTCCGCGCCGACGACGTGCAGATGACGCTCTCGGAAGCGCAGCAGGAGGCCGCCGGCGTCGACTGGAC